TTTTGGATGTGATGATAGTGTGGGTCTTTGCAGAGGATAAAGAATGCATGCGGTTTTTGTCATTATCTGTCTACATGTGTTGCCCCACCATTTGTTCAAGTATCCATCCAATTTGTCTGTGTCATCATAATTTATTTATTTTTGCTAGCATTTTTTTTATACTATTGTCAAACGCGGCGCCTCCGTCTCCAAACTCTTCACGCCACGCCGGCTCAGACATGCTGCCGGCTTTTAAAATATCACGACGGCTCCGTCTAATGAGGCCACACGTCTGCCATCCCGTCTCTGTCTTTCTGATCCCTCCCTCTGTTTCCGATTATCCCGTCAGACTTTCAGATATGTCCTTGCCTTGAAATGTGATTAATGTCAAGTTTAGTCTCCCGGGATTTGGGAGCTTGGATTTATACACACCCCAAATCAAAGGGTTGTGGTTTTTTTTTTTCACAAAAAACGGCCTGTCAGTGCCCGAATTGGGAAAAGCGCATGCCATCACAACTTTTTGTGGCGATGGGGGCTGTCTGGGGAAGTATGACTTTAAAATCCCAAATGTGGCATTGAGAAGAGAGGAAAGATGTTTTGCCTTCATGTTTAATGTCAGGGATCTAAAAATGGAGCAGTATTTCCAGAAATTCTTTTATTTCCTTCACAGGCAGAGTACTGGCTCATGACTGCGTGAAAAATGAATGAAAATCCAGCCAGCTAGTTGTCTTGGTTCAATTTGAGAAAATGTATGAAGAATAATTTAAAAGAAGAAAAAAAAAATCATCTTCACACCATCGCCACGGCAACTATAGCAGTGCAAACATCAACCTGCGCTGTCATGAATCAATGGCGCCTGCTGAGATATTAACAGGCGACATGAACACATGAATGAGCCTCGCGTGAGTTATATTTGGTATCGCACTCTCCCTGGGACCTTCGAGATGTTATTTTTAATCCGACCTGGAGGCTGTAATGTAGCTTTTTTTTTTTTTTGTATGTGTGTAATGTTGCCTTAGTGGTCATTGGATGAATACTGCACACTTGTGGCCATACGCTGCGTATTATCTGTTCCTTAAGTTTGCTCCTTCCACTGCTTTGAGATTCTCCCATGACAGTTAAAAGACCAACAGTCGCGTAACTGTCAAATTAAACAGAAAAAAAAATGAAGGGAATTCTGCAAAAGTTTGCTAGCGTAATGCTAACACACAATGAAATACCCCATCTACAGGCTAATGAAACTAGCGTCAATATCTTGGCGCTCCAGCCCTATAAGCAACATCGATTTGAACACAAACGGCGCAGCATACGTAGACTGACAAAATATGAACGTTCGCGTGCATTTATTCTTTATCCTCTGTGAAGAAAATGAATTATTCAAATGAGGGCATTTTTGAAAGGCTATGGGTTTTTTTTTTTCCGCCCTGGAGAACCATTGGCTGCCAAAAGCAATATGGGTTTAGCAGTGTTCCCCCAGTGAGCTGGCTGTCATGTCACAGCATGGCGGCATAATGAGGAAGAAGTGCGTGTGCGTGTGCGTGTGCGTGTGTGTGTGTGTGTGTTTCAGCATGACAGCAGGAGACAATGACGGGAGACAACAAGGGGAACAGCAAATCCTTTTGTCATGTGCAGCCGCTTCGAAATGTCTCTGTGTCGGAGGGGGGGGGGGTTTGTGCCGCTTGCCTGTTGATGTCAGTTCATTATCATTCTCGTTAGCGTGCCATCGTGACACCGCAATGGAGTCACAATACAATTGAGCATTCGGTAATATGGCGGCTGGGAGGGGAAGATACAGTCAGGGCGCATGCTTTATTTATTTTGAGTCGTAGCCTTCGGTCGTCACGGTAACAGGAGCCCAACATGGCATCGGTGCACAAGTAGGGAGAGGTGAGCAGAATTGTACCCCTCAAAAACTGAGTGAGTTCCAACTTTGGGTCGTAAGTGGATGTTCAGTGAGTTTGCCGTTTTCCTCTTTTTGTGGATTTTTGAACCCTCGGAAAAACAAATGACCCACACATAGTCATCCAATTAGTCATCCTGATGACACCATGAAGAAAGTCTGGACAGAATAGCCAAATATGGTCAGTGTTGCTCTCTTTTTGTAAGTAGAACTGCTCGGACTCTAGCCTATTTTTTTTCTTTTTTTTTTCCTGTTGGACTTTTTCCCAGAACCAGAAAAAGCCAAATTGGGATGAGACCCTGTCGCAGATTCGGGTCGCCAATGAATATCTCCTACCTACAAACCCCTTTTTCCCTGTCAAATAGCACAAATGTTCATTCTCCCCTCCTGCATCGTTCAATTCACCATCTTAAACTGTAAAAAAAAAAAAAAAAAATAGATGAAGGTGGTGTTACCATGGCGCCAGCTGATCAAGGGAAGACGTGCAGCATTGTGTTTGATGAAAGGAAAATTTCCTGTGTTGGATATTCTGGGACCTGTTCTCCCAGGCTTTATTTTTCAGCGTGCTTTTTGTTTCGCGACAACCTCGCATTATCCGAGCCGGTCTCTATAGAACGAGACCGAGATGGAAGTCAATTACTTGGCAGTTAAATTATGCAACAATGGGCTGTAATGAGCCATTCAGCAAAAAGCACCATATAATATTGGTTTAACTGGGGTTTAATTTTACAATGTGATTTAAAAAATAAATAAATAAATACAATTAGACGTCATGCCTGTTTCTCAGCGTGAGCCGTTCCCTCCTATTGACCGGCTGCTGCTGCGCGGCACATCAAAGCGGATTTAATGGCTTCTGTAATTTTACGCATTCATTTTGCGCGAATTAATTGCAGAAAAAATTGAAAAATAATGTTTCAGTGCCAGCCCTTTCTAGATGTTCTTTTGCTGACACCCACGTCACTCACCAGGCCAGGTCTTTTTAAAGCCATGCACAGATTTTACAGCAAAACGTGTGGATGGTAAATTTTTTTGGTTTTGTTTTGTTCAAATGGAAATGTAATTCCCTAATTACAAACCCCAATCCCACCAGGAGTGTTAAGCTTCCGGACTCGACTGAATTCACTGATTACAAAGAGTTTACCCTGCCTGACTAATATCTTGACTCGCTTTGGGTTATTTTTTTTTTTGTCTTCAGTTTTAATCTGCAGAGTACCTGCTCAGCAGTCGGTCCTCCCTCAATGTGACTCCCAGTGAGCGCAGTGGTGAAGAGCCCCGGGAATAAACAAAAGGACACATCAGTCACCACCTCCCCCCTGTTGATTTGACTGTCACTTTTTTGGGGAGACGATACGTAATGTAATTAAGTGCTTTGTTGTTTCTCGTGCCCTTAAATCTTTCACGTTGATTTAGTGACGGACAAAAAATAAATAAATAAAAATCAAACTTAGGAGCGCATTACAATGGGCCGTTAGAATATGACATTGACTTTGTTGACTGCGCGAATCTAACTTCTGACAAAACATTTTCATGAGATGTTGTTTCCCCCCCATAAAACCTCCTCTTTGGCATTTATATCGCGAGAAAATATATTTCTACCGGAGCGTAAAAGTGAATTGGACTTTTTCTGAAGTCTCTTAATTAGTCATAGGCTTTTTGTGTTTGGGCGTATGAGTGGAATCATTCCCTCTAAAAGCAACGAAAACTTTTTTTTTTTTTTTTCCGCTCATAGACGCCGGAAAAAATGAAATGTTATGTCGACGAAACTGTTTTCGTCTGTCGGAATATTTTGGAAGCTAAAAGTGAAATTATGTTTTGCTGCATTGCTACATGTGGAACACGGAACCGTCATTAGATACCGCCTGATCCTGTTCGGTTTTCTTTTCCGAGTTGACTGTGTTGTCTTTGACTTGACGGACGGTCTCGCGCTTGTGTTTTGAAAAATGAAGGAGGACTACCGTAATTTCCGGACTATAAATCACAACACATTATTCTCATTCATAATTTTTATTCTCATTATTCTCATTCATCATTCTCATTATTCATCATTTCACGTGTTATTTTCACATTCAACCGCAAGAGGGCGCGCTTGGCCTATGTTGATAACTCGACGACAAGTCTGACGTAAGTGACGTAGGAGGAAGCGCCACATCTACCTCCGTTAAAAAAAAAAAAAAATCTCCCTCCGTTTGTTTAAAAGTGACACGGAAGATGAAGATTTAATCGGATTTAGTGATTTGGAGTGACACTGATGTTTTGGTGAACTTGTTGGCGTATTCGTGATACTCTAGTTATCTGAATAACTCTTAATATGTTACGTGAACATAACAGGCACGTTCCCAGTTCGTTTTTGCTGCGTCATGTAACGTGTTATTTTTATTTGCCTTTCAAGATGACGTGTCTGTCCTGGGTGTTTAGATTTTATCGAATAAATTATCCCCAAAATACGATTCATACGCCAGTGCGACTTGTATGTTTTTTTTCTTTACACTCTCGGCACGCTAAACAAGTCGTCTAGTTGCGCAAATTGTTTTCGAAAAGCCCGCTCAAAACGTTCTCAAAGACCTAATTTCCGAGCGACGTACACCAAATTTAGCCTGAGTACTTTTTGTTTTCATTTCATGTCATGTGTGTTGTCAGATTTCACATTGCCAACGCTTACAGGCCAAATGTAATTTCATTTCAACCACTAATGATCTCGTTCACATTATTCTGATCATAATGTCGCCATAAAGTTTTATGATTGTGCTTTTTTTTCCCCGCTTGACAGATTGAAGAAATTCAGTGAATTTTCGCATCCTCGTTATATTGCGAACCGCCAGACGTCGAGATTTAATCGGATGCCATACGTATTCCCCGTGCCTCATGTCAACAAGTGGCGCAAAAAGAAGTGTGTGCTTGTTTGTTTCACTTGCTAATAGATTGCATCTCTCTCTGGAGGCGATTTAAAGCGGAGGCAAGTTAATTAAAACTCGTCTGTGTTTACACTCTCGCTCCGGAGTGAATGATTTATCTCGATTTTGCAAAGGGGGCTTAGCCGCTCCATAGCGCCGAATAACGTGGAACGTCAGGTCTAAAGCCGTCGTCAATTGTGTGTTTCTCTTCTCTCTCCCACCCCCTGCAGTTTATTGCCTTCGCGTCTTTGTTCTTCATCCTGGTTTCCATCACGACCTTTTGCTTGGAGACCCACGAGGCGTTCCACACCATCATCAACAAGACGGAGGCGACGCGGAACAGCAGCCTGCCCGATCTGGGACCGCAGTACGAGATTGAGACTGACCCCGCGCTCATCTATGTGGAAGGCGTTTGCGTCTTCTGGTTCACCATCGAGTTCCTGGTCCGGGTGACCTTCTGCCCGGTCAAGTTGGAATTTGTTAAGAGTCTCCTGAACATCATCGACTTTGTGGCTATCCTGCCTTTCTACTTGGAAGTAGGCCTGAGTGGCCTTTCCTCAAAAGCTGCCAAGGACGTGTTGGGATTCCTCAGGGTGGTGCGTTTCGTTCGTATCCTGCGTATCTTCAAGCTCACCCGTCACTTTGTGGGGCTACGGGTGTTGGGCCACACGCTACGGGCCAGCACCAATGAATTCCTGCTGCTCATCATCTTCCTGGCACTGGGAGTGTTAATATTTGCCACCATGATCTATTACGCCGAACGCATTGGCGCTAAGCCCAACGATCCGACGGCGAGCGTCCACACCAAGTTCAAGAACATACCCATCGGCTTCTGGTGGGCCGTGGTGACCATGACCACCCTCGGGTATGGCGACATGTATCCAAAGACGTGGTCTGGCATGGTGGTGGGCGCCCTGTGCGCTTTGGCGGGAGTGCTCACGATAGCCATGCCCGTGCCTGTCATCGTCAATAACTTTGGGATGTACTACTCCCTGGCCATGGCCAAGCAGAAGCTCCCCAAGAAGCGGAAGAAACACATTCCCCAGGCGGTACAGGGAGGCTCCCCGACCTACTACAAAGCTGATCTCACCGCCACCTGCAACAGCACTCAAGGTGACCTGTGCCACGTCAAAGGCGGCAGGGGACTCGAACGCAATCGCTCAGGTAAGGCCACTTTGGGAGAATGAGAAACCTCGTCGAAAAACGTGCGCGAGTTGTGAACCGGCCGTCCAAACGTTTCGCAAGCGCGGTCCTGCGTTTTTCTTGCGGGACTTGTTCAAGAATCCAGTTTCTCCTGGTCCAAATTCTCAGGTGACACTTGAAATGTACAACACGCTTTGAAATGACAAAATAGGACGGAACAAATATTCCCATCAAACCAAAATCATCAGGTCGTGACGCGCAGTAGCTTCATCGCTTTTGGGACTCGATTGTCCCTCGAGCTAAGACCAGAGGACTCCACCGGCGGACCATTTGAGTATGTTTTGACATACTCGTGATACCGCTCGCAGTACTGTCGGCGGACTGTAGCGGTGGCAGCGACCTGACCGTGTCTCCGGAGGAAAGAGTCGCCATGCGAAGGTCCAGCACCCGAGAACAGGACCGTCGGAGCGGGGGGACGTGTTTTCTAATCGCTGCAAGCGATTACAATTGTCCTGCAGATGGAGGCTTAAGAAAAACAGGTATGTACTAAACACTACCTCCTTTTCCCTATTATTTTTTTTGAACCTGAATGCATTCCCGTCCCAGCCTGGTTTCCATAGACGTTTAATGAGCTTTAATTTTAGTGCTCTGAGCGCACCTTTGACGCAGCAGATTGATATAGTTACAGGGAAGTCCAATCATTTGCTACTCGATTGTACCTAATCTAGAGGCATCAACGGAACACCGTACACGATTCCTCGCCGTCACGGCAAAGTTCTGTACAATTGTGCTCTG